AAATTGTGCCACAGAAAGTGCACCTGTTACCTAAAATAAATTCAACGTAAACTGGTGACAATGTTTTATCACAATGTTATTTTGTCACTTACAACTTTCGCGGGCCTTACTCACTCGTGAGAGACTAAAATGAGTCTTAATTCAGGACAGTAACAAAAATGAAAAGAAAAAAGACTTCTAAAACGTTTTTCTCAAGTTCAAGTACCAGTGAATCGAGAAGCAATAGAAATCAAATGCAACTGTAGTCTCATGCGACTACTTAGAACTCCACGGAAACTAGCTCGTTTTATTTTGGCTGTATATAACTTAAAATGAAACAAAAAGGAATTTAAAAAAGGAAGCTTTTTATTTTTAAACTACAAAAAGCCTTTTACTTCACTGGCACACAATTAAACCGTTACTGCACCACTCAATAAACCGGAGGCGAAAAAAATTAAATTTGATAAAACCGTCGCGAGCGATCGGCGTTTCAACAAGCAATTTCGATAACTCCCGTTTCAATTATGTGAAACATGCAACGGCGATTAAAATTTTAAAATATCGCCTTGCAGTACCTCCGGCGGGCTTAAAACATGGAGGCGATTTCGTCCAGATTGGAATTAATCAGTGGATTGTTACGGGGAACATTCAAATTGAATAATTGGGATTGGAATAAATTTTAATGGGAAATTCAATCATGATTGGCAGTTTTGTAAGAATTGTGTTGAGTCAAATATTGGTATGAAATAATGGGCTAGTTAAGAATAGCGAAATATGAAATAAAACGAAACAATACTAACGATTAAATTATTTAATGAAACTAAAATTGCATTAAAAAACTAAACTTACCAAGATATATTATCACTCACACAACCTCCGTCACTGTGTACTAGTTTCACAATATTCTTTTCGTCTGACATTATGAAGTTATTGTCTTTATCAAAGGCCAAACCATAAATGCCTTTTAGATCCAAAACTTTCGTGAACTCATTACCACCACGTAGTAATATACCGAAATTGGTACAAACATACAAGCGGCCATCGTTATCTTCAACTATTTGCCTAACAGTAACCAGTTCGTTCACAGTTTCAATAGTAAGTTTTAAATTGTCAAAGAAATATAAACCACTTTTGTTAGCAAAATAGATGTCATTATTCGGCATCACGTGAAAATTATCGACTTCAAAGTGTTCGAACTCACTAACTCTGATGAATTTTCCATCTACATCAATGTATAACTTCTGATCTGGGTAGCTGATGTAAAACAAATTTGCTCTGAAGTATAAGGACCAGATATTTCTTCCTTTTTCTTTGTAATTGTCGGCTAGCTTCGTCAGCATATTGTATTTGTAGATGCCGTCACTTCCTCCCAAATAAATTTCGTCGTTACCTTGATCTATAGCAACGGTACACCCACCTCTAATCCCAGCGATGATTTCACTTTCTCTTGTATCTAAGTCTATGTAGGCCAGTTGGAAATCCACATCTGAGTAAGTATCTGGCAGCGAGTAACTGAAGAACAGTGTGTTTGAAGATTTGTGTCGCAACTCAGTTGTTCTACGGTAAAAAGTTGTGAGATCCATGTAATACCAAGTCCAGGCCAGGAAATCTTTAACGTTTTACATAAATATATTGACTTGGCCATCGCATGAAAACACGTGTAAATTAAATTATTTAGTGCGATGGCCAAGTCAATAATTTATGTAAAACGTTAAAGATTTCCTGGCCTGGACTTGGTATTACATGGATCTCACAACTTTTTACCGTAGAACAACTGAGTTGCGAGACTTGGTTTTTTTGACAAGTATTGTTTTTGATGGGATTCATTTTAACTGAGGAAACTTTGCTGATTTTTGTCCTATTTTTTGTGTGATTATTTGTCCGTATATCAAAATTGTTTGTTTCCCTAATATCAATGAATAAATTAATTAATCATATTTGTTATTTGTTTCAGGTATGTACTTAACCCATTATTGTCAATATCAGCAGTACCATGGTAAGTTGTATTTTGTACTAAAACACGAGTTTATAATTTTAATTGCAAAAAAACGTTAAAGAACTTTTTAAAATAATCATCAGTGTTTTGTTTCATCTGTTTTCATTTGTCGAATTACTTTTAGAATTCAACTGTCAAACTCAATTTGGTTACAGGCCAGTGCTGACCAACACTGGCCACTAGAAAAACGCTTTCTGACTCATATTCCGTAGGGTTTGTTCGAAAAAATCCATTTGGCTCGGAAAAAAGAGGCATTTGTGTTGTGTCACTCGAAAAACCGACACCGTGTACACGAAACTAAAACGATGAGAAAATTAGAGTTGAACGGGAGAAGAGTGGTTCCGTAATCGCTGCCTTAGGGTGAGTATAAACTAGAGCATTTCTATGTAATGTAACATTCTTACGAATGGTACAATACAGGTAAAATATACAACGTTTGGTTCGTAAAAGGGTGATACACTATCATAAGAGTGGCTCGTTGTTCTGTTACAGGTAAATGCTCTAATCTATACTCACCTTTAAATATATGATACACATTATATCTATAGACATCAAATTATATACCTAAGATATTGAAAGCTTTATCGTAATACGATAATTTTTATCAAGATGATATTTTCTGACTTAAATTAATTTCATAAAGTTGTATTCCTAAACCAGCTGGATATTAGGAAATCTGACAACTGCTAGGTATCTTAACAGCATATATACACAAGTATTTTTCTGATATTATATTTTTGGGATATAAATAAAAAAGTATACATAGCTATGTCTAAAATGTAATGTCTGTATTGTTACAGATATTATTATTTGCTAGAAAAATGTATTTTATATTTTCAACCGACTTCAAAAAAGGAGGAGGTTCTCAATTCGACCCGTGTTTTTTTTTTTTTCTATGTTTGTTACGCGATAACTCCGCCAATTATGAACCGATTTGAACAAATCTTTTTTCGGCGTATAGGTGGTGGGTGGTCCCATTTAAATTTAATAATAGAAAACAACCCCCAAGGGTGGAAAATTGGGGATGAACTTTTTTATACGCAATATCTCCGCCGATTATAAATCAATTTGACTGATTATTTTTTTGTTGAATAGGTATTATCAAAAGGGTGGTTTCATGCGAATTTGAAGAAAATATTTCACCCCCAAGGGTGGAAAATTGGGGATGAACTTTTTTATACGCAATATTTTTAATTTTTAGTTTTTTTTTGTGTTCACGCATTTGAAGTCGGTTTTATTTTTTTTNCATACAGTTGTGTGATCTAGTGGCCATCTGCAATTGTTAATTTAATCCAGTCTGAACCCATCCTGTTCCAGTCCCCGAAATTTTATACAGTCGCAGCACGCTTGTAGGTTTGCAAGTACATAATCGAGTATTCGTTTGTGAAGTAAAATAAGAGGGAATTCGAGTATTTGTTGATATTGAAATAATTGAGCGGAATTAATTGATGGTTGTGTACGTGAATGCTCAATGAAGATATATTTTTTGTCTACATTTTGTGATTCAGACGACATTTTAAAAACTGGCCAAGTACGAGTCAAGTACTGCAAATCTATCAATGAGCTCTGTGTATTGGACAGTACATTACACTATCAATTAACAAAATTAACTACATAAATACCCCAGTGTTTATTTTGATGCAATGTCGTCTGCACTTCATACCATCAGGTCATTCATCATTGATCTTCAACAAGTTATCTGTCTGCTCGTTTGCCTCCTGTCCCATAAAAAAGAAATACCTCCTACATATTTCACGTCTCATAAAATCATAGAAGCCGAAATTACATTGTGCATTAATTTGGACATCCCATTTTTGTGACACTAAAATATATTTAAGAATCAAGCTTCTATTATTCATTTTACATTATAGACAGAAGATTTTAAAGATTTTGATAACATTTTACATCCAGAAAATTCCTAGTAAGTATCCACTCAGATTTTTTTTCGCTCGATCAGTCGAATTCTCTGTAAACATTGTAAATGCGTTTTTTTGCCACCATTTGCATTTTCCGTTTGTTCAGGGCATCTGATAATAACATCTGCCTTCCAAATACAGTGTTTTGTGGAGGCAGAGTAATAGCACCATTTGCAGACCCGTCTCTGGACAGCATTTTCTGGACCAGTTCCTTTTGCGTATAATTTATATGACACAGGCAAATAATTCTTACTATACTAGTGGATAGAATGAAGTACGGAATGAAAATTGTGCCACAGAAAGTGCACCTGTTACCTAAAATAAATTCAACGTAAACTGGTGACAATGTTTTATCACAATGTTATTTTGTCACTTACAACTTTCGCGGGCCTTACTCACTCGTGAGAGACTAAAATGAGTCTTAATTCAGGACAGTAACAAAAATGAAAAGAAAAAAGACTTCTAAAACGTTTTTCTCAAGTTCAAGTACCAGTGAATCGAGAAGCAATAGAAATCAAATGCAACTGTAGTCTCATGCGACTACTTAGAACTCCACGGAAACTAGCTCGTTTTATTTTGGCTGTATATAACTTAAAATGAAACAAAAAGGAATTTAAAAAAGGAAGCTTTTTATTTTTAAACTACAAAAAGCCTTTTACTTCACTGGCACACAATTAAACCGTTACTGCACCACTCAATAAACCGGAGGCGAAAAAAATTAAATTTGATAAAACCGTCGCGAGCGATCGGCGTTTCAACAAGCAATTTCGATAACTCCCGTTTCAATTATGTGAAACATGCAACGGCGATTAAAATTTTAAAATATCGCCTTGCAGTACCTCCGGCGGGCTTAAAACATGGAGGCGATTTCGTCCAGATTGGAATTAATCAGTGGATTGTTACGGGGAACATTCAAATTGAATAATTGGGATTGGAATAAATTTTAATGGGAAATTCAATCATGATTGGCAGTTTTGTAAGAATTGTGTTGAGTCAAATATTGGTATGAAATAATGGGCTAGTTAAGAATAGCGAAATATGAAATAAAACGAAACAATACTAACGATTAAATTATTTAATGAAACTAAAATTGCATTAAAAAACTAAACTTACCAAGATATATTATCACTCACACAACCTCCGTCACTGTGTACTAGTTTCACAATATTCTTTTCGTCTGACATTATGAAGTTATTGTCTTTATCAAAGGCCAAACCATAAATGCCTTTTAGATCCAAAACTTTCGTGAACTCATTACCACCACGTAGTAATATACCGAAATTGGTACAAACATACAAGCGGCCATCGTTATCTTCAACTATTTGCCTAACAGTAACCAGTTCGTTCACAGTTTCAATAGTAAGTTTTAAATTGTCAAAGAAATATAAACCACTTTTGTTAGCAAAATAGATGTCATTATTCGGCATCACGTGAAAATTATCGACTTCAAAGTGTTCGAACTCACTAACTCTGATGAATTTTCCATCTACATCAATGTATAACTTCTGATCTGGGTAGCTGATGTAAAACAAATTTGCTCTGAAGTATAAGGACCAGATATTTCTTCCTTTTTCTTTGTAATTGTCGGCTAGCTTCGTCAGCATATTGTATTTGTAGATGCCGTCACTTCCTCCCAAATAAATTTCGTCGTTACCTTGATCTATAGCAACGGTACACCCACCTCTAATCCCAGCGATGATTTCACTTTCTCTTGTATCTAAGTCTATGTAGGCCAGTTGGAAATCCACATCTGAGTAAGTATCTGGCAGCGAGTAACTGAAGAACAGTGTGTTTGAAGATTTGTGCACATTCAAATTGTATGGTCGTCCAATGTTGGTTAATATGATCTCTCTTTCATACCAAGTGTTGTTCATTCGAACTCTATTGCAAGCCTTCTTTGGCACACTTTTCACTGAATATGATATCGCAAACATGACCAACATTTGAGAGAACATTTGATCCAATCACAAATATTTTTACTTTACAATTAACTGAGGAGGGTCCACGGATTAATTGGATATGAATTTTCGATTGTATTTTCGGAGAGCTGCCTCTACCATGATATCAGATTTAACAATGAGATAATTGTTAGTCATGGACCTTTGTTAACAATGGTGTTTGTTCAAACAGTTCGCAATGTAATAACAGTAGTCATTGTGTTTCATCAATTAATAGGAGCGCTTGATGAGTCTTTGATTCGATTGTTTAGATTTAAAAACATCATCTGACTTCCTTGTTGAGAATGGCGTATAAAGTTCTAATCTTATTAATAGCTAATTTTGCATTAATTTTAACTAATAAGAGTATCTTTAATTCTTTCCAAATCTTCTCTTTCAGCAGGGTTAGTTAAAACCTCATAACATAACGGACCAACTTTACTTGGTTTTAATCTATAAATTGCATTTCGATCGGAATACACTATCTGATCATGTTCATCGAAAGTCAGGCCAAAAGCTTGGACTATGTGCGCCACTTTTTTGATTCTATGGTACGGTTTATCTTCAATGTATATGCCATCGCTGGTACAAAAATATGTGTCTCCATAGCTATCTTCAACTATTTGTCGAATCACTACTTCATCGCTTAAAACTATAGCTTCTTTTTTCGGCTTTTCAACTTTGTACAAAGCTGTTCTGTTAGAGAAATAAATATCCATGTGTTTAGAAATAAAGAAGTGGTCGACTTCTATATTGATAGCTTCAGCTACAGGCAAAAATTCATCGTCTTGGTACACTCTAAGTTTCTGCGTTGGGTACTCGATGTAATAGAAGTTTCTTCTGACGAATAATCCCCATATGCTTTTGCCTTCTTCGGCGAAAAAGTCCGCTGATTTGGTGAGGAAGTTATACTTGTAGATGCCGTCGTGGCCTCCTAAGTATATGTCGTCGTTGCCGGCGTCGTAGGCGATGGCATATCCTCCGGGAACTCCGCTTACGTTAGAACAAGTACGCTTATCGATGTGGCAGGTTGTGATCAGGAAGTCTGCGTGGGTCCCGTTTTGCACCTGGAAAATATAAATTGGGATATTTTACATTACGTCATGTAGTTACAAATTAAGCAACGGTTAGTCCTAAGATCTGTGTGACCCCAGAGTTCAGAGATTATGCTTCAATTTAAAAAACAGAACTTAAACTATAAGGCGACAAAAGCCCAGTGGTGAAGGTGCCGGACTGGCCAACTCGAGCTCCAAGGAACGCGGGTTTGAACCCCGGCACCGCTGGACTATTATGGTGGACCACTCGTAACACAAATTAGCTTCATCATCATTATCATCACCATTTCAGCCATAGGACGTCCACTGCTGAACATAGGCCTACCCCAACGATTTTCATATTAATCGACTGGTAGCGGCGGCCTGCGTCCAGCGCCCTCTTGCTACCTTTATGATGTCGTCGGTTCACGTGTCGTGGAACTTAGCTTATAATTTTTTCCCGTCATTATAAAATTTTAAGCACTGCAAAATAAGCTAACAAAGAAAGATCCTTAGAAACTGGCAGTAATTAATAGAAACATTATAAAAGGTACTCGTATGTTGCCTGACTTCTAATGCTGCAACATGATATATTGCCCAGGTCATAAATAAAGCGTGTACTACGGAATCGGACTTCTTATCACCGTGTGAGGAACAGTGCTGTTACTGACCTAGTTTAAGTGGGACATTATAATAGGCTAGATGACAAAATTGAACTGGATTGGCCACACTCTCCGAAGGGATCCCGATCACATCCCCAAGCAGGCTCTGGATTGGAACCCCCAAGGAAAACGCAAACGTGGTCGCCCCAAGCAAACTTGGCGGCGTACTGTGGCAGACGAGGCGAAGAAGATCGGCAAGACTTGGAGCGAGATCAAACACATAGTTCAAGACCGAACGCGATGGAGGACTGTTGTAGACGCCCTCTGCCCCATCTAGGGGACATAGGACCATAAGTCAAGTAAGTCAAGATGACAAAATTTCAATTATTTGTCCGTCAGACAGATAATTAGAAAATATTAGACTCATATTTTTTATTTTCTTTCATAATTAAAAATAACAGTGCTACATCGAGTTGAAATAGCGCGATACGTCACGCTTGAGTAGAATTTTTACTCAAAAGTGACGTCACGCGACATTTCAACTCAATATATTACTGTAATTATTCGATTATGGAAAAAATTAAAAAATACGAGTCTAATATTTTCTAATTATCTGACGGACTAAATAGTATTTCGATTTCATTACCCAGTCATCATCCCTATTGTAGAAAAAACGGTGATAAAAATGTAGTGGTGTAGTACGTCACGGTCTTTATTGCACATTCCAGAGCTGTACATCTTGGAGGTGTATGAAATTTTTTTTGCGACTTTTGGTTAATTGTTATTAAAATGTTCAATACTTGTCGTTCAACATTATCGTTGTGTTTTAACACAATGTCTGTTAACTTTCGTGTTTGCCTTTGATATTATCATTACATTTTGATTCTTATTAATTTAATTATCCATCCTTATGTATGATTTCCTTAATAAATATCCTATACTATTTCTTACCATCTTTCAGTTAATAAATTGATTTTGAAATATTTTATCCAACCAAAAAACGCCAATCGTCCCACAAAAATTCGTCCCTATTCTTTCAGCCCCTGTCCCGTTCCAACCAAACATCACACCACTACACTACTACCACAGAATAACATGTAATGTTTAATGCACGTAAAAACGCAAGCTGCATTTTATTGCAGCGAGAAAATAGCAAAACAGATTAGCTTTTTTACGTCATAAATCTTTCTTATGACTAGCGCTGGCGGTCTTGAACTTAGTATGCAGTCGTTATAAAAAGGATCAAGGCAATTCGATATTATAGTTTTTACAAAAATAAATGAGCTTTATGAGTTTTATAAAGTTCAGGTAAACTATAACTTATTGTTTTCAGTTCTCGGAACACATCTGACAGAAAAGTTTAGTTTTCGATGATCATCAACTTCTAAACTCCCATATTCGTAAGGTCACTCGTAACTGTTAAATTATGAACACAAAAATATTTTATTCCCAAGTAATTCTGGGCTGCAATAAGTTTTCTATGACTCTACATTTAAAAAGTTAAACTCACCGTGTGGCTAAAAAACAAAAGCCCCGAGAACTTGTGCATGACAAGGTTGTACGGTCTCCCNCACTCCGCCGCGGGCAATTTGCTTCTCTGCAATCTCCTTCACCCGAAGAATGGCGTTAATGGTGGAACGCTCTGCACGGAATCCAAATTGTTGCGGCGAGAGATTGGGCCCCACATTGTCAAGGTGCCGGACGAGACGCGATTGGATGACACGCTCCAAGAGCTTCCCACCCTCGTCTAATAGCACTATAGGTCTATATCCCGATGGCGAATCAGCTGGCCGTCCCGCTTTAGGCAGGAGAACTAGTCTGCCGATCTTCCAAGCCATGGGAAACTTGCCCTGTTCTAGACAGGCGCTGAAAAGGCGCCGTAAGCGTTCTCCAAGTGCCACAGACGAGACGACCCACGCTTTTCCGGGGATCCCGTCCGGACCAGGTGCTTTGTTTTTGCTACGCAGCCGTAATATGGCTGCGCCAAGCTCCCCCTCTGATACGGGTACTGGTGCTTCAGTAGAGGCTACTGGGTGGGGCCTCATGGCTGGTGGGGTGTGCTCCGCCCGAGATGGGAACAGGGTGGAGATAACTGAGCCCAGTAACGCCGGCTCCATGGTCTCCGTCACTGGAGGCGCCCATGGTCGAAGTTTGCCCCTCGCTACGCGGTATGGTCGTCCCCACGGATCACGGTTTAGTGAGTCCAGCATCTCTTTCCGGGCCTGAACTTTGGCTTTTGCGATGGCCACTCTAAGGGCTTTCTTGGCCTGGCGGTAGGTCTCGTAAAGGGTATCATCTAGTGTAGTATCGCGACGCCGCCTTCGTCGATGATTGGAAGACTCCCGCTGTGCGGCAATAGCGGCTCTGCGCAGTTCTGCAATGTCCTCCGACCACCAATAGACTTGACGTACTTATGTATCTAGGCTGTGTCAAAGTATTTAAATAAACAAGCTGTTTTGCTTAAATTGCAAGACTGAAATGCATGCAGGTTTGTGTTCACGTGAAAATAACCAAAACCATATGCCGGACAGTTTTGACTCTAATTTAGTAAATTAGTTTAAAACGTAATACGAATTATGAATTTTGGACAACATAATATGAAGCTTCTAAATTCAGCAAGATGATTCGTTTCCCAAAGTGATGGTAAAGGAAAATTAGTAGCTACAAATATTGCTTGAAAGCAATTGTATCTATGTCAAAAGCTCTAATGTATAAGAAACTAGCATTCCGCCCGCGGCTTCGCCCGCGTGTAATTTTGTCTGTCACAGAAAAACTTTATCGCGCGCGTCCTTATTTCAAAAACCGGGATAAAAACTATCCTATGTCCTTTCCCGGGACTCAAACTATCTCTATGCCAAATTTCAACAAAATCGGTTCAAAAATCAAAATCAAAAAAAAATCAAAAAATATTTATTCAGTTTAGACCACAAGTGGCACTTATGAACGTCAATAGAAAATAATAAAAAAAGAAAAAGGTAGCCCTTATGGGGCACTTTACATGTCTCCTTATCTTTTGGGCCCTACCAGCGCTTCGAGACAAACATATGGCAAGTGCTGAGAAGAAACGCCGGAACAAACTCAGTCACCACTTATTGCCAGGAATTATCTAACGGTAAGAATAGTCAAATTTAAGTACATCAAATATGTGCAGACTGAACTGACCACGCATCCTTGTCATCAATATAGTCTCGAACCTTGTAGTACCCTTTGGACATAAGGGTATTTTTTATATGTATCTTAAATTTGTTTATTGGCAATTCGACAAGGTTGTGTGGTATTTTGTTAAATATGGTAATACATTTCCCCAAGAATGAATTACCTATCTTATGCNTGTTTTGTGGAGGCAGAGTAATAGCACCATTTGCAGACCCGTCTCTGGACAGCATTTTCTGGACCAGTTCCTTTTGCGTATAATTTATATGACACAGGCAAATAATTCTTACTATACTAGTGGATAGAATGAAGTACGGAATGAAAATTGTGCCACAGAAAGTGCACCTGTTACCTAAAATAAATTCAACGTAAACTGGTGACAATGTTTTATCACAATGTTATTTTGTCACTTACAACTTTCGCGGGCCTTACTCACTCGTGAGAGACTAAAATGAGTCTTAATTCAGGACAGTAACAAAAATGAAAAGAAAAAAGACTTCTAAAACGTTTTTCTCAAGTTCAAGTACCAGTGAATCGAGAAGCAATAGAAATCAAATGCAACTGTAGTCTCATGCGACTACTTAGAACTCCACGGAAACTAGCTCGTTTTATTTTGGCTGTATATAACTTAAAATGAAACAAAAAGGAATTTAAAAAAGGAAGCTTTTTATTTTTAAACTACAAAAAGCCTTTTACTTCACTGGCACACAATTAAACCGTTACTGCACCACTCAATAAACCGGAGGCGAAAAAAATTAAATTTGATAAAACCGTCGCGAGCGATCGGCGTTTCAACAAGCAATTTCGATAACTCCCGTTTCAATTATGTGAAACATGCAACGGCGATTAAAATTTTAAAATATCGCCTTGCAGTACCTCCGGCGGGCTTAAAACATGGAGGCGATTTCGTCCAGATTGGAATTAATCAGTGGATTGTTACGGGGAACATTCAAATTGAATAATTGGGATTGGAATAAATTTTAATGGGAAATTCAATCATGATTGGCAGTTTTGTAAGAATTGTGTTGAGTCAAATATTGGTATGAAATAATGGGCTAGTTAAGAATAGCGAAATATGAAATAAAACGAAACAATACTAACGATTAAATTATTTAATGAAACTAAAATTGCATTAAAAAACTAAACTTACCAAGATATATTATCACTCACACAACCTCCGTCACTGTGTACTAGTTTCACAATATTCTTTTCGTCTGACATTATGAAGTTATTGTCTTTATCAAAGGCCAAACCATAAATGCCTTTTAGATCCAAAACTTTCGTGAACTCATTACCACCACGTAGTAATATACCGAAATTGGTACAAACATACAAGCGGCCATCGTTATCTTCAACTATTTGCCTAACAGTAACCAGTTCGTTCACAGTTTCAATAGTAAGTTTTAAATTGTCAAAGAAATATAAACCACTTTTGTTAGCAAAATAGATGTCATTATTCGGCATCACGTGAAAATTATCGACTTCAAAGTGTTCGAACTCACTAACTCTGATGAATTTTCCATCTACATCAATGTATAACTTCTGATCTGGGTAGCTGATGTAAAACAAATTTGCTCTGAAGTATAAGGACCAGATATTTCTTCCTTTTTCTTTGTAATTGTCGGCTAGCTTCGTCAGCATATTGTATTTGTAGATGCCGTCACTTCCTCCCAAATAAATTTCGTCGTTACCTTGATCTATAGCAACAGTACACCCACCTCTAATCCCAGCGATGATTTCACTTTCTCTTGTATCTAAGTCTATGTAGGCCAGTTGGAAATCCACATCTGAGTAAGTATCTGGCAGCGAGTAACTGAAGAACAGTGTGTTTGAAGATTTGTGCACATTCAAATTGTATGGTCGACCAATGTTGGTTAATATGATCTCTCTTTCGTACCACGTGTTGTTCATTCGAACTCTATTGCAAGCCTTCTTTGGCACACTTTTCACAGAATACGATATGGCAAACATGACCAACATTTGGGAGAACATTTGATCCAATCGCAAATATTTTTACTTTACAATTAACTGAGGAGGGTCCACGGATTAATTGGATATGAATTTTCGATTGTATTTTCGGAGAGCTACCTCTACCATGATATCAGATTTAACAATGAGATAATTGTTAGTCATGGACCTTTGTTAACAATGGTGTTTGTTCAAACAGTTCGCAATGTAATAACAGTAGTCATTGTGTTTCATCAATTAATAGGAGCGCTTGATGAGTCTTTGATTCGATTGTTTAGATTTAAAAACATCGTCCGACTTCCTTGTTGAGGATGAAGTGTAAAGTTCTATTTAGTCTTATTAATAGCTACTTTTGCATTAATTTTAACTAATAAGAGTATCTTTAATTCTTTCCAAATCTTCTCTTTCAGCAGGGTTAGTTAAAACCTCATAGCATAACGGACCAACTTTACTTGGTTTTAATCTATAAATTGCATTTCGATCGGAATACACTATCTGATCATGCTCATCGAAAGTCAGGCCAAAAGCTTGGACTATGTGCGCCACTTTTTTTATTCTATGATACGGTTTATCTTCAATGTATATGCCATCGCTCGTACAAAAATATGTGTCTCCATAGCTGTCTTCAACTATTTGTCGAATCACTACTTCATCGCTTAAAACTATAGCTTCTTTTTTCGGCTTTTCAACTTTGTACAAAGCTGTTCTGTTAGAGAAATAAATATCCATGTGTTTTGAAATGAAGAAATGGTCGACTTCTATATTTATAGCTTCAGCTACAGGCAAGAACTCATCGTCTTGGTACACTCTAAGTTTCTGCGTTGGGTACTCGATGTAATAGAAGTTTCTTCTAACGAAGAGACCCCAAATGCTTTTGCCTTCTTCGGCGAAGAAATCCGCTGATTTGGTGAGAAAGTTATACTTGTAGATGCCGTCGTGGCCTCCTAAGTATATGTCGTCGTTGCCGGCGTCGTAAGCGATGGCATATCCTCCGGGAACTCCGCTCACGTTGGAACAAGTACGCTTATCGATGTGGCAGGTTGTGATCAAGAAGTCTGCGTGGGTCCCGTTTTGCACCTGGAAAATATAAATTGGGATATTTTACATTACGTCATGCAGTTACAAAATAAGCAACGGTTAGTCTTAAGATCTGTGTAAACCCAGAGGTCAGAGATTATGCTTCAGTTTAAAAAAAACAGATCTTAAACTATAAGGCGACAAAAGCCCAGTGATAAAGGTGCCGGACTGGCCGACTCGAGCTCCAAGGAACGCGGGTTTGAACCCCGCCACCGCTGGACTATTGTGGTGACCCCACTCGTGACATAAATTAGCTTCATCATCATCATCATCACCATTTCAGCCATAGGACGTCCACTGCTGAACATAGGCCTCTCCCAATTATTTTCATATTGATCGACTGGTAGCGGCCTGCGTCCATCGCCTTCCTACTACCTTTATGATTTCGTCGGTTCACGTGTCGTGGAACTTAGCTTATAAATTTTTCCCGTCATTATAAAATTTTAAGCACTGCAAAATAAGCTAACAAAGAAAGATCCTTAGAAACTGGCAGTAATTAATAGAAACATTATAAAAGGTACTTGTATGTTGCCTGACTTCTAATGCTGCAACATGATATATTGCCCAGGTCATAAATAAAGCGTGTACTACGGAATCGGACTTCTTATCATCGTATGAAGGAAAGTGCTGTTACTGACCTAGTTTATAGGGACATTATAATTGTGGAAAAATTGTATAGGACGTCACAGTCTTTGTAATTTGCACATTTCAGAGCTTTACATAAGGAGCTGTATGAATGTTTTTTGTGATTTTAAAAACTCATTTATTTCGGCAAATAGGCTTAAAAAAAAGCACTTTTACACGTCCCAGTATTAACCCTACCACTGCTTCAGGACAATAAATGGACCAGTGCTGAGAAGAAGCAGCGTAAGAAACTCAGTCACTATTGTCAGCATCTTTTTCAAAGGTTTGTCAATTATTAAATGTTCTATACTTATTTGTTCAATGTGTTCAACATTATCTTTGTTTTTAACACATTGTCTGACTTTCGTATTTGGCTTTGAAATCATTACGTTTTCATTCTTATAATGAATCCTTTACTATTTTTTGCCATCTTTCAGAAAATAAATTGATTTTGAAATATATTATCCAACCAAAAAACTTTGATTGTCCCACAAAAATTCGTCCCTATTCTTTCAGCCCCTGTCCCGTTACAACCAAACATCCCACCACTACTCTACTACCGCAGAATAACATGTAATGTTTTATGCACCTAAAAACGCAAGCTGCATTTTATTGCAGCGAGAAAATAGCAAAAGAGATTAGCTTTTTTACGCCATAAATCTTTCTTATGACTAGCACTGGCGGTCTTGAACTTAGTATGCAGTCGTTGGAAAAAGGATCAAGGCAATACGATGTAGTTATTTACAAAAATAAATGAGTTTTATAAAGTTCAGGTAAACTATAACTTATTGTTTTACAGTTCTCGGAACACATCTGACAGAAAAGTTTAGTTTTCGATGAACATCAACTTCTAAACTCCTATATTCGTAAGGTCACTCGTAACTGTTAAATTATGAACACAAAAATATTTTATTCCCAAGTAATTCTGGGCTGCAATAAGTTTTCTATGACTCTACATCTAAAAAGCTAAACTCACCGTGTGGCTAAAAAACAAAAGCCCCGAGAACTTGTGCATGACCAGGTTGTATGGTCTCCCGAGGTTGTTCACGAGGAGTTCCCTGTCGAAATACACGTGGTTAAAGATGATGCCATCGCAGACAACCTTCTCAGCTTGGAGACCGTGGAAGAGCGTCAGGATGAGCAGTATTGATGAGCTGATCGCCATGATTGAGGCTGCAAGATATTGTGGTTGATTAACGAACGACATTATGATAATGCCCGCAGAGTATATTGTTAACTCGATTTGTATGTTGTGTGCACTTGTTATTGGAGCTGCAACAAGTTATGCTGTGTAACCTGCTTTAGACGCTTTGTATGTTGTGGTTGTGTCCCTGTTTTGTGCACCAAATAAAATAAATAAAAATAAATAGAATCGCTAAAATCAAGTGGCAGTAGGCGGGGCACATAGCTCGCAGAGCTGAAAAAGTTCTCGAGTGGTGACCACGAGCCGGAAAACAGGGACAAGGAATGTGAGCAGGCCACTCACTAGATAGACCGACGATCTGGTGAAGGGCGCGGGAGGTGCCTGGATGCGGGCGGCGTAGGACCGTCTTTGTGGAAATCCTTTATGGAGGCCTTTGCCCAGCAGTGGACGTCATTCGGCTAAAACGAACGAACGATTATGATAATGATCAAAAGCCTACCTATTAATTAATTAAATAAATACGAGGTGTGTTCAAAAAGTAAGGTGACTTTGTATTTTTAAGAAAAAATATTTATTTATTTATCAATATTTATGTTGTCCCCTTCAAAGTAATCCCCCTCAGATACAATACACTTATGTAAACGGTTTTTCCAATCCTCAAAGCACTTCTCATAAGCACTTTTCGGTATAGCCTTTAGCTCTTCCAGCGATGCAGTCTTTATCTCCTCAATCGTTGCAAATCTCCGTCCTTTCATAGGTTTCTTTAATTTTGGGAACAAGAAAAATTCACATGGGGCCAAATCCGGTGAATATGGTGGCTGAGGCATGATTGTGGTGTTGTTTTTAGCCAAAAAATCTCTCACAAGCAAAGATGAGTGAGCAGGGGCATTACCGTGATGCAAAAGCCATGAATTGTTTTTCCAAAACGTTAGAAAAAAATTAATGGCACGAGCCAAGCGATATGCCGATATCCTCAGCAACTTCTCTGATAGTGATTCGACGATTTTCCAAAACAATTTTCTTCACTGCTTGATCGTTTTCATCAGTTATTGACGTTCTTGGGCGTCCAGAGCGAGGCTCGTCATTGGCATCTTCCCGGCCATCTTGGAAGAGTTTGAAACATTTTTTTTTACTCAGAACAGTTTCACCGTATGCCACTGTCAACATTTCAAGTGTTTCGGAGCATTAAATTTAAATTTTTTACACAAAATTTGATGCAAATCCTTTGATTCATATTTTTCGATAGCAAAAAATCGCCGAACACGCAAAACACTTATAACCTTTACGCCTCTCATAACCAAACAAAAAATGCTATACACTTGAAACTTGGTACAGATGTTCGGGAAGAGTGTACCAACATAACAAAACAAAAAAATCGATAATCGAAAGTACGTTGCCCGGGAAATTTGAAAAGCCACCTTACTTTTTGAACACACCTCGTATAACTAAAGTTAGTACCTACTTTGCTTCCTTCCCACTTCAATTCGAACAACTCTCCTCTCTTCACGATTAAGTCAAAATTTAAGATCATTTTAGTTCACGTAGAAACTCTTTTGAGCTAAAAATCTATTGTCTACGAGTACAGCTCCCAAATTCAGGGTTAAACGAGTTAGTAGTTCTATTACTGACTCGTTAAAATTACTATTCACATGGAAATGTTTTTAAAAGCAGTAAATTATTCTTTTGTACTCTGATAAATTGTATGACCCAAAAAAAGATTTATTTTTCGCGTTAAAACAAATGGTATTGAAAAATCAGAACTAGAAAATCGTATTTTAGATTTGGGAGTTTTAAATCGTGATAACAAGTTTTATTGACGTAGTTTATTGCGTTAAATAAAAGCCAGAAATAAAATAAAATATTTGAATACAAGTGGTTTGAATTCAACGAATAGAAAATGAAAAAAAATGGCGAATGTAAACCAGACTGGGTATGAAAAATCAGTCAGTTTATTCGATTTCAAATTGAAGTCAATGGATGAAATTGTAATTGTTTTAGTTAGTTTTAGATGAACTATTGATATAAAAGGAAGAAAATGGTATCTAATAGATCCACGAGAACAAAGAGTTTGTAAAAATGTCCATTGGTTCAACCAAATGACGTCCACCGTTGGGCAAAGGCCTTCCAAAGATTTCCACAATTACTGGTCCTATGCTGCCCGCATCCAAGTACTTCCTTCAACAGATCGTTGGTCCACTTAGTAACTTAATACGAATTTTAAAATTTACTTTATTCATGTAGTTATATCAGTTAACTCTTTTTAAGATAAAAAGAATCACGTATTTTACTAACCACATTCTTAACCTGTATTAAAGAATCGACTTACTTGTAAAAAATACAGTTAATTTAAAAGATTCGTGCTCAACTTTTCTTATTTTTTTCTGTAGACATTTTATACTTTTAAAACCTTCAACACACTGGTTTGTGAGCAGAAACAAACTGTCAACTGAACTAACTCTCGTGTGTTTGTTTGTTTTAAACAATGAATAAATCAATGACAAAGAGGTAGAGAATGATACTGTATCTTTGTTTGAGTAGAATGTTTATTGTTTTTTGAAATCCAGATAGTTTTGTCACGATCTTAAGCTGAGTTCCACCATCTTACTTTAACTTTGACAAACATCAAAAATCTGTCAAACTCCATACAAAAAGCACCGGTTATCGTTGTAGTTTCCGTTAAAGGTAGGTGGTGCAACTCAGCATTAAAGTGAGACGCTTGAAATTTGGCATGCAGGTACCTTAGTAAACTTAAAGCTTAGTTACGACAGGATATTGAAACATTCCCACGGGAACTGGAGTTAGCGGGAAAAAACATTTGTCTGAAAAAATTTATACCGCGTAAGATAGATAGGGGGTAAAACGGGATCCACGCGTACGAAGTCGCAGGCGGCCGCTAGTAAGTTAATATTAGTAGTAGTTTTAATATTTTCTAAAATTCCACCCCTGAAAGTTTGGCATTTAAATACATACATTTACAATAATAAATAATGGAAATACATAATTTATAATTGAGTTTGTATGTATTGATCCTAAATTAACGCGAACGAAGCTACTGATAAAAGCCAGTTTCACTATAAAATTATCATTTCAGATAAACATGTGACCGAAGTTCTAACCATCAACATAGCATTAGCAAATGCAATAAATCCATGTTAAATATTTTCCTTTTACACTAGCAAACTAGAACGTAAATTATTCCTCTACTACTAGATACGGAAGACACATTAAGCTAAACACTGAACCTTATTCAGTTGTGATAAGTGTTGTTTTGCAACTAAAATGTATACTTCAATGTACAGACCTCTCCAGCACATATTACCTAAGTTGTGTAATTGCCACGTTATTTCTGTGCTTCATAAAGTGGTTTAGTGACATAAGCAAAGAAGATCAGCAATGTTTTTTTAACTTCTCTAAAATGTCCCTGGGGTACACAATTTTGGAAAAAATTGACTTAGTAGTTATTCAAATTAGAAAGAAAGACACTGCAAGAATGTCTGAGTCAGATATCAGTTGTACAGGATTGCACGCCATCTCTTTAAAAAGCTACCAAATTGAACTAAGTAGCTTGACTTCTTGACTGACTTATGTCTCCTACATGGGGCAGAGGGCGTCCACAACAGTCTTCCATCGCGTTCGGTCTTGAGCTTCGCGTTTGATCTCGCTCCAAGTCTTGCCGATCTTCTTCGCCTCGCCTGCTACAGTGCGCCTCCAAGTTTGTTTGGGGTGACCACGTTTGCGTTTTCCTTGGGGGTTCCAATCCAGAACCTGCTTGGGGATGTGAAATAAGTAGCTTGTAGTCCTTGTAGTCCATAAATTGGCAAAAAATAAAATGGATATGTACTTATAATGTATCTTTTTTTTTTTTTTTTTTTTTTTTTTTTTTTTTTTTTTAGGCGCCGTAAGCGTTCTCCAAGTGCCACAGACGAGACGACCCACGCTTTTCCGGGGATCCCGTCCGGACCAGGTGCTTTGTTTTTGCTACGCAGCCGTAATATGGCTGCGCCAAGCTCCCCCTCTGATACGGGTACTGGTGCTTCAGTAGAGGCTACTGGGTGGGGCCTCATGGCTGGTGGGGTGTGCTCCGCCCGAGATGGGAACAGGGTGGAGATAACTGAGCCCAGTAACGCCGGCTCCATGGTCTCCGTCACTGGTGGCGCCCATGGTCGAAGTTTGCCCCTCGCTACGCGGTATGGTCGTCCCCACGGATCACGGTTTAGTGAGTCCAGCATCTCTTTCCGGGCCTGAACTTTGGCTTTTGCGATGGCCACTCTAAGGGCTTTCTTGGCCTGGCGGTAGGTCTCGTAAAGGGTATCATCTAGTGTAGTATCGCGACGCCGCCTTCGTCGATGATTGGAAGACTCCCGCTGTGCGGCAATAGCGGCTCTGCGCAGTTCTGCAATGTCCTCCGACCACCAATAGACTTGACGTGCCATGGGAAACTTGCCCTGTTCTAGACAGGCGCTGAAAAGGCGCCGTAAGCGTTCTCCAAGTGCCACAGACGAGACGACCCACGCTTTTCCGGGGATCCCGTCCGGACCAGGTGCTTTGTTTTTGCTACGCAGCCGTAATATGGCTGCGCCAAGCTCCCCCTCTGATACGGGTACTGGTGCTTCAGTAGAGGCTACTGGGTGGGGCCTCATGGCTGGTGGGGTGTGCTCCGCCCGAGATGGGAACAGGGTGGAGATAACTGAGCCCAGTAACGCCGGCTCCATGGTCTCCGTCACTGGAGGCGCCCATGGTCGAAGTTTGCCCCTCGCTACGCGGTATGGTCGTCCCCACGGATCACGGTTTAGTGAGTCCAGCATCTCTTTCCGGGCCTGAACTTTGGCTTTTGCGATGGCCACTCTAAGGGCTTTCTTGGCCTGGCGGTAGGTCTCGTAAAGGGTATCATCTAGTGTAGTATCGCGACGCCGCCTTCGTCGATGATTGGAAGACTCCCGCTGTGCGGCAATAGCGGCTCTGCGCAGTTCTGCAATGTCCTCCGACCACCAATAGACTTGACGTACTTATGTATCTAGGCTGTGTCAAAGTATTTAAATAAACAAGCTGTTTTGCTTAAATTGCAAGACTGAAATGCATGCAGGTTTGTGTTCACGTGAAAATAACCAAAACCATATGCCGGACAGTTTTGACTCTAATTTAGTAAATTAGTTTAAAACGTAATACGAATTATGAATTTTGGACAACATAATATGAAGCTTCTAAATTCAGCAAGATGATTCGTTTCCCAAAGTGATGGTAAAGGAAAATTAGTAGCTACAAATATTGCTTGAAAGCAATTGTATCTATGTCAAAAGCTCTAATGTATAAGAAACTAGCATTCCGCCCGCGGCTTCGCCCGCGTGTAATTTTGTCTGTCACAGAAAAACTTTATCGCGCGCGTCCTTATTTCAAAAACCGGGATAAAAACTATCCTATGTCCTTTCCCGGGACTCAAACTATCTCTATGCCAAATTTCAACAAAATCGGTTCAAAAATCAAAATCAAAAAAAAATCAAAAAATATTTATTCAGTTTAGACCACAAGTGGCACTTATGAACGTCAATAGAAAATAATAAAAAAAGAAAAAGGTAGCCCTNCTTTCGGTTCAGTGGTTTACGCGTGAAAGCAAGACAGTCAGACAGACAGAGTTACTTCCGCATTTATAATATTAGTATAGATAAATATTATGGTGCCCTGCAAAATATTTGATCGATAAAAAGTAAAAGCTGCTTTTAATTAAATCTTAATACCATTAAAAGCTTTCATTTTTCCGAAATAAACCGTATTGTTTCTTTAAAGACTTTAGATAAAACTCTGTTTACGGAAATAGGATCCGTTTTGTTGAACAAAGTCGGAATTTCCGGAAGTTCGCCGGGTCAACTGTTGTTCAAAGATGATTTCAGGGTCTCAAGATCCGGAATTAAAGGTTTAAGATGATTCCCTTTGTGTACGTTTGGGGAAATTCAATTGCGTTTCGGTGTCTTTGTTGTGATTTGTTTTTTTTGAGACTGATAAGAATTGGGTTTTATCTGGGGNATTTCTGTTACTTGGGACTTTAATTATCTTTATAGGGACCACTCATGTAAAAATAACCCTTGTGGAAAAACAGTAGTAATCCTACTAATATTATAAGTGCGAAAGTAACTCTGTCTGTCTGTCTTGCTTTCACGCCTAAACTACTGAACCGATTTTGATCAAATTTGGCATAGAGATAGTTTGAGTCCCGGGAAAGGACATAGGAAACAGGGACGCGCGCGAAAAAGTTTTTCTGTGACAGACAAATTCCATGCGGGCGAAGCCGCGGCCGGAAAGCTAGTAGGCTATAATTTATGACGATCTGTGGCAAACTAAATTTCACGCGGGTGAAGCCGCGGGCAAAAGCTTAATAAATTTTTGGACAGTCATTCGTTTCAACCAAATGACGGCCGTTGCTGGACCAAGGCCTCTCCTAAGGATTTTCATAACGACCGATTCTGGCGCCGCCTGCATTTAGGCACCTTCCGCGACCTTCACCAGATCGTCAGTCCTCCTAATGGGGGGCTTGCCCGTTACTACGTTTTCTGGCCCGTGGTCGCCACTTAGGAACTTTTAATTTGGACCATAGTATGATAAATATGTATTGACTCGATTACGTACAGTTAACACTACTTCACTGCACTCAAAGTTGAGTTTACACAAATATTTTTTTTTAATCCACAACGAGGAAGCTCTTGGATTGTATCTGACCTGATGGTAAGTGATGATCAGGCCGAAGGTGGAAGCGAGCTTCACCCGGAATCGTCAACCACGGAGGAACTGGCTATCTTACCTCTAATTGCCGGAACACAACAATGCTGTTAACATTGTTGTTATGGCGACAGACTTAGGTAAGATGGTGGTCATGCAAGGGAAACAATGTTATTCGTCTTTATTTGTTAGTAAAATTGACAATTTCTGTAAGCGTGGGCTAAATCAAAGACTAAGGCTGGGTTGCACCATCTTACTTTAACTTTGACAAACGACAAAAAAAAATAAAACCGACTCCAAAAAACAAAGGCAAACTTCACACGTTTCATAATCTTGGCACCGACTCCAAAAGTATCAATCATGGTATACATAAATATTAATTCGTCCTAATAAATAAGTAATTAGTGATTATTTTTCTACTTTTTAGTGTATGTTTTTTGGAGTCGGTTTTTTTTTTTATAAAAATTAACTTATTTCTTGCTTTTTAGTTAACTAATTATTACCTTGGTGTTACCACTGAAGGTAGGCAGTATATTCTTAATGTCAAGTGTAAAATAATATTCCCTACAAAATACAGGTTACCATATCGGCAACCTAAATAGACCTTAAACCGTCAGCCCACCTTAAAAACATGAAAGAATACAACTGTTAGGCTATTTGTACCTATAATATTTAAAGAATTATCCTCCAACTCCTAAGCGTTAAGGAGTTGTACCTACCATGACCAGTTCATCGTGATGAGATGATGGCTATCTGATGCAAACACTTGAATAACTTTAGAAACTATACTTATCTATAAAATTAAAAGAATTATCCTCCAACTCCTAAGCATTAAGGAGTTTTACTTTCTATCATCAGCTCATGAATTTGAGATGATGATTTCCATGAGCAAATACTTGAATAACTTAAGAAAATGTTTGAAAAACGATATACGTGCCTATAAAATGGCAATGCCAGATTTTGTATGGAAAGTGGCGTCTTTTTTTTTTCGCGCGGCCATCGACCAAACTTTATTTTTTGATTACAAAATAGTGTAATAAACCAAACTTACTATGGCATGTATACCTCTAAACTCAGTCTGAACTGAGTTACAAGCATTAGAAGTTTGATTATTTTCATACTAGATTTGCTTTTTGTGCGCAAGTTTTGTAAGAAATTGCAACAAAATATTGCGCTATTTTTTTATTGCGCTGATTCTGCTCCATACTGATGTCTGGAGCCTTTAATGGATGATATTGTTTGTTTACACATACAATCTCACTATTTTGTTGCAATTTCTTACAAAACTTTGCGCGCAAAAAGCAAATCTAGTATGAAAATCATCAAACTTCTAATGCTCGTAACTCAGTTCAGACTGAGTTTAGAGGTATACATGTCATAGTAAGTTTGGTTTATTACACTATTTTGTAATCAAAAAACAAAGTTTGGTCGATGGCCGCGCGAAAAAAAAAAGACGCCACTTTCCATACAAAATCTGGCATTGCCANTCTAATGCTCGTAACTCAGTTCAGACTGAGTTTAGAGGTATACATGTCATAGTAAGTTTGGTTTATTACACTATTTTGTAATCAAAAAACAAAGTTTGGTCGATGGCCGCGCGAAAAAAAAAAGACGCCAATTTCCGGCATTGTCTTTTGAGGGTTGCAGTCGATTTCCCTAGGATCCCATCATCAGATCCTGACTTGGTGACAATGGGACCACCTCAGAAGTGTACCCTATCGAACAAAAAAAGAATTTTGAAAATCGGTCCACAATTGACGGAGTAATCGGTGAACATACATAGAAAAAAAAAACATACATACAGTCGAACATATTTTATAACCTCCTCCTTTTTTGAAGTCGGTTAAAAAATCGGTCAAACTCCATACAAAACGCACCGGTTATCGTCATAGTTACCGTTATAGTTAGATGGTGCAACTCAGCCTAAGTAGAGTTTTTTCTATAAAAGATCTAGGTACATTTATGTAGAAAAAAAAGTTACAAATAGTCTACAACATAAAATTATTCTTAAATCAATATTTTTGGACGCCACTCTATTCCAAAATGTAAGTTATCTTTTTCAACCGACNACACCATTTCTTTTTTCTGGTGTACCGAATCACTGTCTTTATCTTGTTAACATTGTTCTCGAGAGGTAATAGTGTGAACCAGCGACTCTTTGTTAGTCTTAAGGATATCTCTACAATATAAGCTACGAGCTATGTGAAACGAAACTAGCAGTGGCATGGCGTTTTCTTACTTAAAACCTAAGGTATCAATCTCAAGAAAATACAGATTTCGTAAGCTTACCCTTTCCAAATTCCATACAACATTGTTCCAGAACGCAGTTTTACTTATTTTTCCCTTCATTTCTCTATACTTATTTGTGCAGTATCAGAATTCAAATTCTTACTATAGGTAAGTCCGCGTGGGGACTCATAGAAGTGCCACATCTTTACTGAAACTAAAGTTCCCTTGTCCCTCCCTTCTTTGGAATATTTTTTTTATTTCATTTGCCTAAACTTGACTATTACTGATTTAACACTAGCTATCGTGCAAACAGTTCGAAACCATAATGCGAAAAAAATATAATCTTACTGTGTAGCACCAGCCTTAATGAGCTGCGCCCTATTTAAGCCGAACAAAGCCGGTTAATAACGAAATTTGTTTGCCTCCGAGGTAACTAACCTATTTAGTTATAATTAACACCTGTAAAGCTTTTCAAGGGAAACGTTTTTGGTTTCGTTGTTTCTTAAAGGCCCTTTTGTGTTGACGTTTTTTGCAGGAGTAAATAAGTTGCTCAGTTTCTTAGGTGTGATTTAAGATAATAAATAATAATAAAATTTCAAAGAATCACGTTAATGACTTGGTAAAGGTAGCAGGAAGGTACTGGATGCAGGCCGCTACCAACCGTGCGATGTGGAAGTCATTGGGGGAGGCCTGTGTTTAGCAGTGGGCGTTCTATGGCTGAAATGATGTTAATGATATGACGTGAACGACTGACGCCTTCTATAAACTTGATACG